CCCTTGTCCTTATCCTCCATCTTTACCCACCCCTCCCTCCCAGCCCGCTCATCACCAAACGCCTCATCACCTCTAGCACGGGCACATCTCCAACAAGCACGGGGCCTCCTCCGGCAGGTGCCAAGGCGCGGCCCCCTGACCTCTCAAAGTTCCCAAGCGGCTGGTCTCCGCCCCTCGGATCTGGCCCTGCCGTCGCCGCCGCCGCCGCCGGTCGCTACCGCGGAGATGAATACCAGCACAAGTAAAAATTGGAATAAAGCACAGCGCAGACCTGCTGAGCAGCTTGCATGACCGGTGTTGCTTGCCGGTTGGTCCACGCACGACGACACGTGGTCGAGAGAGAAGGGGGACACATGCAGAACCGCATATGCACGGCGAGGGGAGAGGGCAGAAATGCTTCAATTTGCTCCAGATTCGTGGCGCCGGGACAGGTCATCCCGGCGCAGGCGCACTAGGTCCATTTGGAGAAGCTCCGGTCCATCCCCCGAAGGGCATTGGTTGCCCCTGTTGCCCTGTGGCCGAGAATATTTCGAGATAGAGAGGGAGAGAGGGAGAGAGAGGAGATGGGATATCAAGGACAAAATGCAACGCATGATCCGTGCTTTATATTCAGGCGAGGCGCACTGCCATCGCGTACCCAAAACGCCATGCCAGGTAGGAGATTCGCGAAGAGGAAAAGACATGGAAAATAGAAAAAGGAGATACAAGAAAAAGAAAATTCCCAAGATGCAATTTGAGAGAAACCTGCTCGTCCCATAGTGTTTTTTCTTTTTCTTTTTGGGTTGGAAGGAAATAAAAAGGCCAATGGCAACAGAAATCCCATCCAGCTAGGGCTGCAGCGCCTAAAACCCGGGTTCCAGAGAGAAGGAGATGAAATAGTAGTATGGGAGTATCATAAGGAGTCATGAGAGAGGAAAAATGAATCAAGTAGGTAAATATTGGTTGAAGGAAGAGAGGAGAGGAGCCGGCAGAAAATCCGGCGGGTCCGAGATAGCCGGGACTATATTCCGCGGCTCGACGGTTTGGTTTGCTGGAGGCCATGGGGCCACTGCTTCCGAGAAGGTTGGGTTGCGTGGCCGAGGTGTAAGAGTAAAAGAGCCGCCGGGCCAGCGAGTGAGACTTTGTGTGAGAGGGAAAAGAAAAAGAGAGAGCGTCGTCCTGGGACATTCTTAGGTCCCATTCTCTCATGTCCCCGTCACGGATCGGCCGTTGGAAGTTTGGGTGTGATGCGGTTGGGCTTCCCCGAGGTTCCGCCGTTTCCCATTATCCGGGCCAGGAGAGGAAAACGCCCGCCTATTTTTTCCCCTTGTTCCTAAGCTCACCACTGCTCGGTACCACAACACGGAGCATCTCGGCATGCAGGTCGTATCCCCATCCCAAAGGAAAAAAAACCCCCCAGGAAGGGGAAACATAAAAAATGAAAATCCGGAGCCGCGCTTTTTTTTTT